TTATGGGGCCCGTAGGGAAATATAGTCTTCATTTTATCCATTTCAATGTGTCTTCTCATAAGGATCTGGATGAAAGCTATAATGTGTTTTTTCCCTGCCTGTGTGTGTATTATTCTCAGATAATGAGGGAACCCTCAGTGGGAAGATGCTCACTGGGATAGAAGAAAGCACCTGATACTGGGTTCATTGGGTTTATTAGTTTTCCAATTTTGCAGACAGAAAACAACTCGACTCAATCAATACCTGCACACAGTCCTCCGCTGAAAGAGAAACAGTCTGTGAGGAGTGACCGAAACGTGTAGAAAACATGAAGAATGACGTCTTGCTGCAGTACTTAAAGGGATCAAATCTGACCACATGTCAGTTTCAGGGCCTTGATTGGCCCTTTATAACCGCCACCATAAGCGCATCCTATCCTAACGATGCATATGTTATGATTATAGTACGATAAGTAAAACATGGCCACTGATTACGATGATATCATGACGCAGCGATTCTACAATAACTGACATATTGCAAGACAGTCGTATAAAACGATACATCACAATATCTCACCAACAGTAGAATATAAAATACCTCTTGAATGTTTAAGCACAGGTTTATTCACTCTGCATTTTGGGTCAGTTTGTGATCATTCTTTTTAAAATCTAATATCGATAAAGGAACCAATAAAAATGCTTTGTCATTTTCACTAAGTAAAGAAGCTTGTAGTCTTTTTCCATGTCTTTTTGTGGGATGTCTTGGTTTTGGGTCATTTTGCCCTCAAGCAGAGGAGCCTTGTCCCAGTTTTGAAATAGTCCACATTCTTCGTAAATATGAGAAAACAGATGGACATAAATAAGAAAGGCAGCCCTTTCTGCATGATGGCAACATATTTACTCGCTAACCTACGGTGGCTGGGAAGTGCAAAGCAAAATTACAAAGTGTTAAACACTTTTACAACATGTGAGACAAATTTACATTTTGAAAAACATTTTATGAAACAAAATTACAAAACCAAAAACACTTACCGAAGACAAAACAAATTTACAAGCTGTGAAACACTTTTACAATCGCTGAGACAAATTTACAAGAGGCAGAACACTTTTATCAGTCCCCCAAACAAATTTACAAACGACAGAATCTTGACGGAAAGGGAACGTACCGCGACAAAACAAAACAAACAAAATGACCCCCCTCACTCGATCACTTCCGGGTCACTTCTGACATTTGGTACATTCCCCTTTTTGTCAAGATTCTGTCGTTTTGTAAATTTGTTTGGGGATTGCAAAAGTGTTTCACATCTTGTTTATAAAATGTAAATGTGTTTTTTCTTGGTGTAAGTGTTTTGGTTTTGTAATTTTGTTTTCTAAAAATGTGAAAAGCTTTTCAAAATGCAAACTTGTCTCACATTTGTAATTTTGCTTTGCACTTATCAGCCACCGTACTAATCCATTTGTGAGTCGTGCCTTATAGACTAATATTGTTTTTTTTAGCGTTTTTAATTGTTAAAATATGTTTTCACTACTCCACACATACATGAGACTTTGGCTTTAAAAAGAAAGCAGTTTTCTTGGATTATTGTTCTTCTTAATGTTGCATTTTGTGTTATTATAATAAAAGTCCTAACGGGGGCGCCATCATGGAGGCAGGTCCAGCGGGCTGCTGTGTGGGGGGGCTCGCAGGAGGGGGAGGGGACAAAGCCTCGTCCAGCCTGCTGCCATTGGCTCCTGCGATGTTATAAATACAGGCAAATGGCATTTACCGGCTCAGAGCAGGCGGAGACACCGAGGGAGGCAGGGCAGGCACGTTTGGGAATCACCGCTATTTTACCGCATCTGTCCTCTTTTTTTTTTTTTTTTTTTTTTTGACGCGCAGGATTGGACTGTACTTTTTTTCACTCTTAATCCCGACTGAAATCAATGAAGGAGAGACGGTCGTGTCAGAAATTATCTCTGAAATCCGGCATGGATCCCAGTCAGAGTGTGAAGTGTAAGATAGTGGTGGTGGGAGACAGCCAGTGCGGGAAGACCGCTCTGCTTCACGTGTTCGCCAAGGACTGTTTCCCTGAGGTGAGACCCCGCAAACCCCGTAGCATGATGCTGATGAACTGAGCTTACCACAGTGCTGTGTTTACTAAACACTGTGTTGTTGCAGAGGTGTGTGTGTGAGACTTTAATGCTCCAGTAATGACGAAGGACACGCACTATTACCTGTTTTATGCACATGATAATAACCTTCATCTCACCTGTGATGGTTCACACAAACAGCTGTGACATGATAACTCATTTGAATCATTCTCAGCCAAGTTTAAAACACTAACTTCCTCTTTTGTGTGTGTGTGTGTGTGTGTGTGTGTGTGTGTGTGTCCTTACAGAGCTACGTCCCCACCGTGTTTGAGAACTACACAGCCAGTTTTGAAATCGACACGCAGAGGATTGAGCTCAGTTTGTGGGACACCTCAGGTAAATATGCCTTTTTTTTTTTTTTTTGTCTACAGATGTGTTCTGGTGAAATGTCAGGACATGTCCACACATGCAGGGTCCACTTGCACAACCCCCCCCCTCCCACTGTGACCCCTCTCTAGACATCTCACTGATCAGGTGATAGCACAGAGGACAGATTTATTGCTTTATTTAAAATAATAGAAATTAATCTGTGACCCATTTTAATCAATAAAGCTGGGTTAATCCCCCCCCCCAATAAGCCTAGGAAATTGCTCACCTTTTTTTCCCCCCTTCATAGAAACATTTCGTACCGTGTCTTTACCCTGTTCTGAGCTGGATTCATGAATTCTTTCCAGATGAGCAAAGGCGATGAAGAAACAGGAAAGGGGAAGAAAAAGAGAGCGAGCGGTCACACATCTGGCAAACACACTTTTGAAATTCTCCCAGTTGCGTGTTTTAGGGGAAGTTTTGTTGTGCAACATGTGTGCAAACTCCATTTTTTTTATTTTTTTTAATCGCTTGTTTGTTGGACGATGCGTTCAGGGTCCAAAACCAGTTGCTTTGTCCCTCATTTTTGTGTGTGTGTGTAAACAAACCCAACTTTCCCATCCATCAATGCCCGATGCTGTGAATAGCACAGCAGTCAGGCGTGAGCGAGGGCGTATGTTGAGTGTGTGCGAGCATGTGGTGGTGGGCGGGGACAAAGTCGACAAGCCAGCTGTTGCAGCGGGTCTCTAGCCCTTGGAATTCCAGAGAAATGGTCATGGGGGGGGGGGGGGGACTTTCTCCGAAGTGGGAATCGGTGTGAAACATTTTGGTGTTCCTACGGGAAGACAAATCTGGAGCGCAATTGGCAACATGAGCTTCTTTTTAAAGGAAATGAAAATAGAAGCATGAGCAGAGCATCCTCATTTCCAAAGCAGAGCGATGCTACATGCAGGCAAAACAAGGAGCTCGCGTTTCAAATTCTTCCACCCCTACAGTGTGTGTGTGTGTGTGTGTGTGTGTGTGTTTTAGAAGTGGAAAAAGGCGATGAAATGAAAGCCAGCCAGAGTGAGAATTTTGTTTTATTGCACTGTGTTGGCCGGCCGCCTAGAGCCATATTTCTTTTTGTCTCTGCTTCATAAAACAGCAAGGGGGGGGGAGACGCGGTTCCTATTAGATCAGTGGGTCTGAGATGCAGCCAATCTCCCCTCCCTTTTTAAATCCCCCCCCCCCCCCCCCACACACACACCCAACACACACACACACACACCCTGGTTGACTGATTGATACAGCTTTCGGCTTGACAGGTTTCTTTGTAGAGGCGTCCATCGGCCATATCCAATCCAATCGATCTCTTATCTCCTGAGGTGTGTGTGTGTGTGTGTGTGAAACCCCCAGCATGCACTCTGACAAAGCCCAGGACGCCGCGTTGAAGGCAAACACAACCCCCCTCCATCACACACCGTGGTGGTCTTTTGTTCTGCAGTGATGATTGGCCTAATGAGCAGCCTGGTGTGCGTTTGTGTGTATTTAAAAGAGAGGGTGATGGGTGTAATTCAGGTCATTAAGGTAAACGCCTGCCTGCTCTATTGCTTTCCATTTGTCCCCCCCCCACCCTCCATCGTCTGTGCTTGCTCTGCTTCAGGGACTCAGGGTGGGGCCAGCCTTTGATGCTTCCCTTCACCCTTTTCTCCGGCAGAGGAAGTGGTTTACGTCGTCTGCCCGCCCGCCCGCCCGTCTAAATGAGGTGCAAAAGGTGTTTTTGAAGGAGTCAAAGCAGGAGAATAGGAAGACGGGGAAGGTAAACAGAACAACACCCCGTGGCTCAGCACCTGTGTGCCCGAGGCCGCTTCTCATTTCCTGAGTTGAAAAGGAGCAGAAAAAGTAAGAGTGGACTCTTAGGCCAGGCTGGAAGTTTCTACATTTTCTACATGTAGTTTTAGATTTGTCAGGTAGGTTTTTAAACTCACAATAACTAGCTTAAAACCCATGGTGGTCAAAAGCGATGCCAGTCCTCAAACCAATGGAAATGTAGTTAACAGACCTTTTAAAACTGAGCACATTAGAGACGCTTTAACCAGCTCATTTTGGGAATTTGTTAATAAAGCGTCCATGATTTGATTTTAAACCACATGGAGGATTAACAATGATCTGTATACATTCGTATTAAAAGCTAATGGCTCAAAATACAGAGCAACATTTGCATTCTTGTAAGGTTCCATGATAAGTGTAAGTCCAGTGCTCAGTGTCAATGAGCCTTGGTTACTTTTCTAACTAGTTGCTAACCTTGTAATACCAGAATTTTGAGCCTGTTTGGGATTCATTTTACTCCTTAAAACAGAAATGTAAAGCTTCACTTAAAGAGACAGTGACAATCAACCGAAACAGTGCAGTTTGAGAACCAAAACAATGAGCTGAAAGACACTAAAATGACAAAATTGCAGAATTTCCCATGGGTTTATTACTATGAGCTACCCATCATATAACCATTTACTTACCATTTCTCAAAAGGTATTTTCTCAGGACTCCCAAACAGTCTCATTCATTAGACCCCAGGGATCTCATTTGATAATATTTACCCCTGGGAACTTAATGGAAAGGTTCCTGTTGTTTTTGTTGACTACGGATTTGAACAGCTGCCATCTCTGCAGAGAAAAAGTTGACCCACTTTTTTAAAAAAAAATCCGGAAAGACATAAAAGTTTTACTTCAGATACTTGGAGACTTGGGGTTTTCTGGACCCCGTGTTTTCATGCGCTGATTCCCGTGTAATGCTGGACAGCTCAACTGTGGAACTTTTTCATGCACGTCGTCGTAAGCTCCCTCTGCCGCTCACACACATTTTTGCCCCCTCTTTCCCCCCCCCCTCGGTCGGCGGCCATTGTTGCATTGGATCACATTTCTGGGCTCAGCGAATTGGAGCCGCATGTCTGGCATTCCTCAGACTAAAGGTTTCTACTTCCTCCTCCACAAAGACCCCCATTGTACCCAAGCAGGCCCAGATCCTTGACTGAGTGAAAAAGAAGTGGAAGGTTCTCTAAAGCCTTACCTCGTATCCAAGGGGGGGGGAATCGAATCATGCTGGAATTTGCCGACATGTGAGGCAGCCTTGAGCGGACTGTGTTGATACAGTGTATAAACTTGAGGACAGTGGAATCCACTTCCTGTCTGCTGAAGTCATGGAAGGGCTCTTGCCGTGTCCTCTCTTTCACCTGCAGATGTTAAAACTTCAAAATCAGCTCTTTGATCATTTTTAAATGTGGCCTTACATTTTAGATGAATGTGGCATTGGGTGTCCTTAACAGCGCCTTCTTTAAACCAGGAATTTTGAGTCGTTTAACCACCAAGATCAAGCAATACCGCTCCCACATTTGGAGCCCACTCAGTGCGACAGAGTGCATGCTCTTGTGAATTCAGAGGCCTCCCAATGTTAAGTGATTAGGGCTGACATGGAGCATATTGAAGTTGTTAATACGCAGAACAGTCAGCAGTCTAAGATACATTTCAGCCCGCGTGCATTAACAAACACAAACAAGTCATGGGATATGTCACAAGACAGACACCTGATGAATATCACTCAGACTTTTGTAAAATCTGACAGGACATGCTGGAATTTATTTTAAAAGGAGGAAAGCTAGAAGGTAGTTGTCAAGTGGGCTGACTTTTTTTTTTTGGTTATGTAGCTGCTGCTGGCTGATAATCTATTTGAACAGTTTGCAAGTTACCTAAGTACATCAGTAAATCAGATTTAAATGCCCTGCTCATATTTTCCAAACTCCTGAAGACTTCCTCGAGCTGCCTCTTTCAGCGCTAACAGCTAAGGCTTCAAATTGGTTTCATAATGGACATGTTTGATTTATGGTATTAAGCTGCATCAAAAGGGAATCTTGATATACCGTCCATTTTTGCTAAGTGTAGTCAATTGAAAACGCAAATTCCTCTACCTTGCTATTTGAACCAAAATGGCTTACTTCTCTTTGAGCCATCGCTAATGCTAATACAGTGCCTACATGTACCATAATGCATCGTGAGCAAACCACCTACAGCCTCTGATCTTCTGGGATCCAAACAACTGCAGAAATGTGGTATTCTGACTTTGTAGCTAACTGGGGCTAATCCAGCTAATTGACGTTAGCGTTAAAGATTGTTGTATTACCATAAGCGACATGACAGGGTAATGTAGTGCTTCGTGTCACTCCAGCTTAATGCCTTCTCAAACAGCGATTGTCAGTGTCTGCAGGGACAACAGATGCCTCGGTTACCGCGGCAACCACAGCAGATGTATTGCTCAAGGTTACTTCCGTTAGCTCTTTGTCGTCCTCGTTTGTGTTCAGGCGCGTCAGTCCGCTGAGAGGTTTCTACATTCAAGCTCGACGGTCGGGGAATAGCTGGACGTGCCTTTCGCTGTTTGTTGTTTCCACAGGTGTTCCCGAGGGCTCAACACATGCACGGCTCACACCAGCCGCCCCCCTCCCCCTCCCCCTCCGAGCTCAGTTCCCCCCTCAGCTATGCTAGCAATGCAGTAAATCAGCAGACCTGTTGCTATACCTCCAGACTGTTGGGCGCAGCTGGCTTACCTCAGGACTGTGTGTGAGGTGAAGTAAATTTCCATGTCAGTGAAGCATTTGTGCGATAGATTGAACATCATGGAATACTTAGCATGGAATTCCAGATGGGGGAAAAACCCGGAAATTTCTTTCTTTTTTTTACTGTAATGGAACATCTGCACATTTGAATAATGAGTCACATTACATGACTAGAGCAGTATGTATTTCCCTGCTTGTTTCATGTATATTTATAGCATTAAGTGGTGTTTTTCCACTCCAGCTGTTGGGGGAAACCAGCCTTGAAAACACATTACAAACCAGGAAGGAAGAGCATTTTAAAAAACCTTAGAAGAGTCTCTTCTTACTCATGGAAAATCAGTAGATTCTTTTTTTTTTTTTACCCCCCTTGGGCCCAGAGTGTAAGGTTTGGTATTGTATTCTCTCATGTCATTGTAGCTGAGGAGTATTCATTTGCTGTGAGCACCACACAAGGGAGGATGTGTTCAAGGGAAGGCGAGAGGGGCTGTGAGATTGTGTGTCAGTGTGTGTTTAAAGGACAAAGAGGGTGGACAGGGTGTGTGTCTTCCTTCCAGATTTAGAGATCCTGTGGGGGAACAATGACAGGAGCTAATTAGATGACGGTCACCAGGTCTTTGTGTGTGTTTGTGTATTGGCTGTTTGATTTCCTCTTATCTTTCCGCTTGGCAAGAAGATGACCTCGAAGCAGAATTTAGTCTAATGCAGTTACGACTCCGCTTTAAATGCCAGACAAGAACAGCAACGTCTCTGATTTAAAAAAATCTCCTGAAAACCATTTTCAGACATCCCCCCACACACACACTCACTCCCTTTACCATGCTCTGCACACATGCACATTTTGATCCTCTGTGAAAGTTCCAGCTCTTCATTTCCATGTTCATGCAGCACAGCATGAAAGAGTTTGCGGGGATGCACTTAGAGGGTATGCTGCTAAAAATACTTTAACCTCCAGGTACATTTCTGCAGGAATACGTTGCTCACTCTTGAGACACTTTGAAAACAAGACCTCACACACTGCAACCAGGAAACCCCGCATATGCGTGCCCTCTCATCAAGTTGGTAAAAACAATCAATTCTTTGTAAAATGTCAACCGACTCTAGAGCCTTTCAGTCACAGCGTCTTATTTTTTTCCTGTGATTAGCTCCAGGCAGTGATGGTTGAAAAAAAACAATCCAAACAATACAATGTGGCTGTGAAAGATTTTGAGACAGCTGTGAAAAATTGGAAATAAATTCTTGCGGGCGGGTTTTGGGGGGGGGGTTCCTCCTCGGCTTGCACTTCCTGCAGCGTGTCTCCGATAGCTGCTCAGTGTCAGGCCTTTTTGGTTTCGGTGGTGTCACCTTATCAGACGGCTTTTCAAAATGATCGCTCTTGGGGGGGGCGAGGGGGGGAGCAGGAAGTTGTTGGGAAATATCATCCGAAACCGATCAAGATCAGATAATCCAACTGGTGGTTGTCCCTGGCATCCAGACGTCAAATTGTTTTCATGCTTTGAAAACAGACCGACATAAGCCAAATCCTCGATGGCATTTTGTGAATCAACGTGTGGGAAAGTGATGCTGTTGCATTCTGGGTTTACGCCCCGAGCCGGACATTGTGTAAGTGACCATCTTGAGTCATAAAAACATCTCTTATCTCGTTGACTAAATGACTCTCGAGAGCAGGACCAGTTTTTTTTTGTCTGTCACAATATTAGCCTAACAGCACCAACAGCTAATGCTCACAGAACGCTAAATAATAGCACCATTCTTTATGTGGCTGTGGCTCATTGGTTGAGTCCACCGGAAGATCAGGGGTTCGATCCCCAGCCCGATGTATCCCTTGGAAGGAAACTTGTGTCAGTGTCCATTGTTTACTGCTATCTTATCTGCTGGTTTAACCCTATCAAATGATAGTTCATATTTTTGGATTTCTTGAGGACAACATTTTGATTTAAAGGCTGTTTTGACTCAAATTAATTCTCGTCGCATTTGAAAGATTGCTTTTCCCCAACAGTCCAATCCTTTTTGACGGCAAACAAAGCTGATTTCAGCAATACACTCAACAATGTTTGGTATACCGTTCAATAGGAAAGAATTCACACTTTTTTTGTCAGCAGTGCCTACAAGTTCCAGGATGCAACTGATGTAAGCAGTCGCCCTTAGTGGTTAAAAATGACACTCGTCGATCGTGTCCTATAGGGCGTGGAGTAGGTCTTTTTCACAATTTATACTAACATGAACAATCCATTAATAAAGCTCTGATGGGCGTGCACTTTTCATGTCCTGTTCGATGAAGCAGAGATTTTCAGATAACTCCAAATGAGCCCCTGTTGACATGCTCTCGGAGAGTCCTGGCTCGAGCACTGGGAAAGTCTGAAAACGGACACAGACACGTCTCGGATTTCCACATTTATTGTGCACACATCAGTTGGTGTCACGCTTTGTTGTGCGAGCCCCGGGCCTGCAGGGTAAGAGAGGATTGTTTAAACAGTGTTGTCTCCAATGCAGACTGTTTGGATTAGGTAAACTAGAGCCTCTGGTGTGCGTCTGTGCGAGTGTGACATTCACATTCCTGCCTTTTCTCCGCGGCAGTGGACCTCCCAGGGGAACCTTCAGCTACCAAAAACAAAATTCTCCAGATTTTTTGGCAGCCGGTTGTGTGTGGTCAACCCCTGAAATGTGATCTTGACTCACCTTGACATGACGCCACCCTCCCCTCCCCCTCCCCTCTTCCTCTCCGGAGATGCTCCAGTCTGGCGGCGAGATGGGCGTCTCCCTCACACATGGTTTCAATTTGAGTGGAGCGAAGTCATTTCCCCCCCCCCCCCCCCCCCCCCCCCCCCTCTCTGAAGTTTCTCTGCTTCTCCAGCGAGGATTTTCTTCAACATGTGAACTTGTTAGAGTCAGCACATTTTTTTTTTTTTCGTACTGATTCTGCATTATTTGTTTTTTCTCGTCTGGTTGCCATGGATTACGCTTGAGCTCACAATCATGCCATAAGAGAATAACTGTCAGAAACGCTTCAGAGTTTAAAGTGGTGATTTGGCCGTGTTCACACATCCAAGCAAATATGTTTGAGGTTTTCCTGTAGGCTCGTTTGCAGACTCTCATTTCATTCCAGTGATGCTACAAAAAGGAGCCAGAGAAGGTTTTCAGGCCTTCAGTTAAAAAGTCTCTTCTACCATCTCAATCACCATTTTTGCTAATTATGCCGAGTAATTGCAGTTGTCTTGTTTTCTCTTCAAAATCACTGATGCAAGGTTTCTCCCTGAGTCCCTAGAGCTCGATCCCTTTTTTAGATCATCCCAAGAAAGCATTGGAACAGCAAATTGAATTAAACATGATGAGACTTGCTTTAAGTGATTTCTCAGGGCCGGTCACAAGTTTTTCTTTTAAAGAGGAACTGAAGCGATTCTGTTGCGTAAACCTGCACGTCCTTACCGAACAACTCTAATCTGAACGCTGTGTTAATACTCTACACTTCTTTGTTTCAGGATCTCCATACTACGACAATGTGAGGCCTCTCTCCTATCCGGACTCCGACGCCGTCCTCATCTGTTTCGACATCAGCCGCCCTGAAACACTCGACAGCGTACTCAAAAAGGTTTGTCCACGAGGCGTTCTCTAATAACTTCCCTTTGATGAACTCTTAAATTTGAATTCTTGCTTTTGTTGGAGCAGCTTACAAAGGCCACTTTGAATTCAAGTGGATCAAAAAGTCTACAGTTCTTTGGAAGTCTTGGTGACCTCAGATCTTGTGATGTGTATTATGAAGCTGTGGTGTGACTGGGAAGGTCGCTGGGTTAAAAATCCCAAGAGCAACCCCACGAAGAAGGAAGTCAGTCACACTCCCAGACCTTTATAAACTCCTGTGGCCAACATTCTCACATGGAGCGGTTTGTGTGGTGGAACTGACTGACTTCCACATGTCTTCTGATCATAAAGCGAGACATGCAGCATCACTCGTCTGACTGGTGGAAGGCTTTGATGGGACTGTATATGTACAGCCATTGTTTCCTGCTACTTCAACGCACCTGGCTTGTGCTCCTGTTGTGTTAGGAAGCTTCCTGTGTTCCATAAAAGTTACAACAAGACCACAAATCTTGCTTTAAGCGCGTCATATTTGCCCTTAATTAGATAGTAGTGCATTTGAAGTTTTGCACATTTACAGAAAAACACAGTGCACAATAAGTTGAACATGGCATTGCATATTGGAAGTTTCCTATATTGTTGCATTAAGTAAGAAGTTATTATTCAACCAAAAAAAAAAAAAAAAAGATGCGTTTAGTAGTTTTAGTTAAATTCTGCTCACAAGCTACACTGTGTTTGGTAAAGCCTTGTGTTCCACCTACATGTTTCCTTATTGTTCTGTTGGTCAGAGGCCATGCATCAAACACTGAACACCTCGATTAGCATTAGCAATAGTCTTTAAGGCTTAAGGTCAAGTAGTGATGTACAAACTGTACCGAACAACTTCCTCTTTAATTTTCAATGATCCCCTGACCAGTCAGCCCCGAGGCAGATTACCCAGGAGAAACGCCATCGATCACAGAGCATTTATTGTTGTCAGGACGGAAACATGGGGATTATTTGTTCCTTTTCCCAGGGTTCAAAGCGTGAGGGGGCTCCAGGAAGTGGCAGCTGTAACCTTTGTACTTAAAAGGGCAGCAGACTCATGGGATGTTGCGCCAGGTTGATCGAGCCAACGCGCATATTTTTACATAGATTTGAACATTTTATTCACATGTAGTCCCAAGGGGGAAATGCTACTGAATATTGATCCTGTGCTCATATTTTACCTTTTCCAAGCAGTGGCGGTAGATAATTTCCCAATTTGTCTCACTTCTGTTCGAAAGATTAAGCTTTCTCTCTGGAGTTGGCACGATTCTGAGCTTTTCTCTTTCTCCGCAGTGGAAAGGGGAGATCCAAGAATTTTGTCCCAACACTAAGATGCTGCTGGTTGGATGCAAGTCGGACCTGCGCACCGACCTGAGCACACTGGTGGAGCTGTCCAACCACAGACAAACACCGGTATCTTATGACCAGGTATGCGGCTTTAAAAATCCCTGCATGTTGAAAAATTTCAAACGGCAAATATTTGAATGAAACAAGCGATTAGTAAAGTATTTAGAAACGGAAATCATTCATGAATAATCCCTCATTGTACTCAAGTTTAAGCATGCTTTACTGATCCTTAAGATCGGAAATCCTCTAGTCAGTGTTGACGCGAGTACCGAAAAAAAATGCTTGCTAACCAAACTGGCCTAAGCCACTTCATCCGATTGTGACCGTGTTTGACCTCCTCCTTCCTCCTCCTCAGGGCTCCAGCATGGCCAAGCAGATCTCGGCGCCCTACATCGAGTGCTCGGCGCAGCAGTCGGAGAACAGCGTCAGAGACATTTTCCACGTGGCCACGCTGGCCTGCATCAACAAGAGCAACAAAAACGTCAAGCGCAGCAAGACCACCCGCGGCAACAAAAGGATTTCACACATGCCCGGCAGGCCCGACCTGGCGGCGGTGGCGTCGGACCTCCGGAAGGACAAAGCCAAAAGTTGCTCGGTCATGTGACTGATCAGGTGGATTAAACTGAGGATGAAGACTGAGCACAGTGCAAGCAGGAAGCTGTTGAGCAAGGCTCTCTCCTGCATGCCAAAGACCCCTTATTTGTCTGGAACTGGGGTTTATAAGCTTAAAATTTGTGTACATGTTACTGGAATACTCTACACCAATGAAAACTCAAAGCATAGTAGCATCCCAAATCCATGTGCCCCCCCCCCCCCACCCACCCCCCCTCGCCCCACCAGACGAGGAAGCTATCTGTCAGCGGGCTACCTGCAAGGAAAAAGGAAGTGACCCGCTTCCTGTGGGGAGGACAAAGCGGATGCAATCGAGGCTTTCCACACCCAACAGGAAGTGAGCAGCAGCAGGAGTGATGTCATGGGCAGATGCTCGTTTGTGAAGGAAGGGGTTAAAAAACATGCAGTCTTTTGAATGAGAGGCGATGGGCGTTCACCGCCCGGGAAAAAGAAAGAATCAGGTTCTTTTTGTTTGTGCTGGATCAAAGACTTTTTGCTCAGACGGCTCATACAGAAAGTCATCGCTCCAGTTTGGACATGATTCAATGTCGCCACTGCTCCTCTCACTGTTAGTCTGTTTGCAGAGATTAGAAGAGGAATCTTTTAGTCCTGCACAAAGTGAACCTGATGCTCTTTGTCCCCCTTCTCGTCTCTGATATGTTGTCGGTATAATGTGAAGTCATTGGTGTGTTACTACATCATTGTTTTGTTTTCGCTTCATCCTGTTGACTTGCAGCCATGAGCAGAGTTTTGTACCAGTCAGACAGCCATTGTGTGCCCACATGCTGCACCTCAACAGCTATGAATACATTGATGGATCTCAAAAGACAGATTATCCTAACTGCTCTCCACACTGACAGCTTTTATGGCCCCATCTCTATTATATCAGGGAGCCATGAGTAAACCGCCTCAGAGCTGCAGTCAGCCTCAAGGATTTTGAAAATCAGTCCCAAATGCAATTCACCGTTCCATTTTTCACCAATTTGTGACACTATTGTGAAATGAAAAATAAAAAACAACATGCATAATAGGGTTTTAAAACTCACAATGTTCCCTTAATGGTCCAAAAAAAATAAGAAATCGACGATCATCCGAGACACATAAAATTTACTAATTGTGTGAAATGAGAACCCCCTAACAGACGGAGACAGTTTGAGCCATGACTCATTTCTTTACCGCACCTTAGGGAGAAGGGGAACTGCTAACAAATATTAGAATTTGTTTATCAGGCTCTAAAAAAAAAAAAAAAAAAAAAAACATCACAGCATTCTGCTTTGCATATCCCAGAAGTGTTAAAAATCTGCTGTCGGGTATGATAATTTTAATTTTAAGGCCTGGTCGCACCGGCAAAAGCTGATGAAGAAGCCATACAATTTGAGTTTGATGGATTCGCTCATGTCAGCAAAGTATACCTGCAAGATCGCAAAGGTTAGCGTAGCTTGCTAAGTTGTGTAGCATCATCTTTAACCCGCATCGATGGATTTTAAATAGTTCAACAAAGAGCAGTGCTTTTTGGATAGTTACTAGACGGGAGGGGATTATCTTTAATAAGACTGTTTGAAATATCTGTGTTAGCAACCATGCTAAAAGTGATGTTGTGTGCTCTTTGGCGCTATTTTCCTGCTACAACGCTAAGCTAATTGGTTGATCGGTTAGTTTGACGAAAACCTGCAAAAATACTCAGTATATTTATGTTTAGCATTTCAGGTTCAGTTTGTTTTGGTTGTATGTTTGCGACAGTGTACAGAAATGGACTAAGACAATATACGCCCAACAACTTTAGGAAGCATTAGCTAGCTTGTTAGCGTGTTAGCACTCACCAGCTACAGCAGCCTCTCCTTCCAGCACAGAATCTGCAAGACGGGGGAAAACCTTTCGTGGTGTGACCAGGCCTTTCATTAAATGGTTTGAATTTGTTTTTCTCAAATGGTTTGAAATGTAAGTTGGCCATATCAGTGTTATATTGTCATGATGGAAACAACAAATAGGTGTCCAAAGTCAAACTGAAAAAGAGACTTTTTCTTTGGTGTTGTTTACCTCCAACAGCAGTGCAATGATGGAGCTGTTTGAATATCAAAGGTATTGATGCACTTTTAATGTTACTTTGAAACTCTTTTTTTTCAAATGCCACTGCTGTCATATTTGGCAGCTCAGTGCGTCCAAACTTTTTATCTTCATTCTCTAATCTGTTGTCTCTCCCCGTGTACATTGTCATGTTTTTTCTTGAATGTTGATGTCACCTTCAAAATGTCTTTGCCAATGTTGTTACCACGATATTTATTGAATTCTATATTTTCCCTTTAGAATAAATGCAAATGGAATCAAAGAGTGTTTTTTTTTTCCTGGTTTTTGAATCTAAGCATGATATAAAGAGGACGTAGTGATATTTCACTTTGTAACTAGTTAAGTTATGTTTGGATCTATTAGGTGTGGTCACATCGGTTACTTCTACACTGCTTTAGATGAAAATAATTCAATTCTTGATGGTAATTTCACTGAATGGTAGTGCTCTTCATTTTGACACCACAGCGCGCAAAGGTTGTTTCTAAGGTAAACTAAACAGCTTGGGCAAACAAAGGAATCAAATATGGGTCAAAGCAGGCTGCAGATGGTGGACTTTAGAACTCGTCGTGTAAACAACTTAATTCCAGGCACATTTTTGTTTTAAAGGAGGATTTGCAATCTGCAATATTTTGCAGTTTTATCACAGGGTTGGATTAAAAAGTACAACGTGTGTAAAAGTACTTTCACCTTAAAAATGAATTTTAATACATCTAGACTAGATTGTGCAATGTGGATGAGTGTTATACAGTTTCTGTCTCATCCTTCAAATTGATTCACCAAAGCTTGAGACTCACCTGTGATCTATTGTCATGATTGCACAGGTGTGGTCTTCATTAGGCCCGTCAGCTTCCTGGTCTGTAATACTCAAGACAAAGCCATGCAGCTGAATGTAATGTTGGCTTTTAGCCTTTTGTTTGCCCTCTCTAACAAAAGCCTTTTACTTCAGCATGTCTGGAGGAAGCACAAATACAGTCAACAGTGGATTCATAAGGGCTTATTCAGAATTAACTCCTGCCTTTTATTGAGACTGTTGGTTTATATTATTTGAAATGACCCAGTTTCATGGAGATGATGTGAGCTTGTGACAGGACAGATTGGGTACATGTTGTGTGGGGCATGTGTAGTGGTGGCTGAAGAAATGTCTATACTCTTACATTCTGACCCCATCCTGACAAGAAAAAAACATCCTTTGCCAAAAAAAACAGTGCTATGTAAGACTACACATGCACGCTCAGTTAGTATGTACAGTACTAGTCAATTAGAAGGTCATCAATTCACCAGAAACTACTGAATGCTGTCAACCAATCAATGGTGTGAATCAGAGGGGATTTAGAAGTGGGTATACCCTGCACTACACCACTGGGTATAAGCATTATTCACGTAGATAATGGCTTGAAATCACTGCCGGGACTTTTTCTTTTAAATAACTCATGGACTTTTAGTAAGCTGGATCTGATTTGGATAAAAGGAATAAGCCTGTTCTTTTTTTTAAACTGCAATCTTAAGATTTCTATGGAGCTGCTACCACAGAAGTCAGTCAAAACATGCGGTTAGCTAACGCCATTAGCCGGACTGGAACCTATAAACTTAAGCTTGGTGGACCACTTCTACAGTGATCACAAAATTGTGATTTCAGATTCAAACTCATGCATTTTCTGCAAAAATTGACAAAACACATTTTACATTTTCTTTCTAAAAAAACAGCTTTCTATTCCCCTTAAACCTGAAATCTTTTAAATTTCACAAGAATGAGTTTCCTGTGATTAGGTGTGCTCAACATTTTCAAACTCAACTCTACTGATGTTGTCATTTTTTCAAACAGTGGACTGGTATTCAAAATGTTCGAATGTTGAGGTTAATCTATCAAATACGTTTACTAAGATTTCACAGAACCAACTGGCTAAACATTAGCTTGCTAATGTTACGTTAGCTTGTAAATAGGGGCTGAGCTCTGCCAGAGCATAACAGCAAGTTCATGTTCAGCAGGATACACAAGAACTAGATCACTCAGGTTTTCTGGGAATGACATTTACTGACGCTGTTACACTAAATGAGTAAGAGTGGTTTAAACTTTACACAACAGTGGAAACATTCACCTCTCCGGCTCTGCAGTATAACAGTGTTTCCTTTCAGAAAAACAAGTTTGACTCAAGTCCTTGACTGTCTTGACATCTCAGTAAAAAGTAGGTACTGTAACAGCTGAATGGAACAAAAGGCTCTCTGTGAGTCAGACTACATCGTCTTGCCTTCCTGAAAAGCTGGAGTATCACTGGGAGCAGACAATGTCGTACAGGCCGTGTGGTAAATGCCCCGGGGCTGCCAAGCATGCAAAATGCTTTCCCTCACACTGCAGGCCTATGTATCATGCGATGACTTCATCACATACATACAGCCCCAGATGTATGAGGTTGTCAGGGGCAGGAAAACAGGGCTGTCGGGTGTAAAATAAATGTCAAAGATGAAAGACGCACAACTGTTCTCCTTATGTCTGAATTGAGTGACTTTATTATTATTTTTTACACACATCAAGAATAAATTTAAGTCAATTTGTAATGTTTAGCACTCATTTTCTGCATTTCAATGTAGACGGACAACACACAGGTACATATCCAGATATCCTTTATATCTGTGAATAATAAATGTTTGCTCTAGATTTGACCTAACGTATATCTTAGCTTAGCATCAGTATTGGGAAAAAAAGCTAGGTTTTCTTTAAGACGCCTCCAAAGCTAACTAACTGATTTACTCGTAATTAAGCCTGTATATTAAACAATCACATAATGTCTCAAAAACCCGAATAAAACTATTTTTTGTTTTTTTATTTACTACACATTATTCAAATGCAGTGTGGTTAGCTTTAGCGTTGCTAATAGGTTGATTTTGCTACTGCGTGAAAGAACCAGGCTAGTGGTTTTCTTCTGTTTCTTGTCTTTTATGCTAAGCTAAGCTAATTGGCTGCTGGCTTTATATACAGAAATAAAAATACAAGTTGTGTCCATCTTCTCTTCGAACGTTAAGTGAGAAATTCAAAGAACATATTCCCTTAAATACCTCAACTTTTTCTTTCAGTTTTGATCGATTTTACTTTTGCAATCACGTGTTTTCACATTTAGACATGTGGGACCGACTTTTGGCAAAACAACAGCTGTATCCTTGTCACTGTACAGTATTAAAAACAGCAAGGGGTTCTTTTAGAGTCTTTTATAATCACCAGACACACATGGGAGTAGTCTCTTGTGTAAGATGTAGATCATCTAACACGCTCTCCACCCAGAGTTTAGCCCTCATAAACCAAAATGTAGTGTGTCTGACATGTTGAATATTTTGAAGGAGGGACACAACGTTAGCTTTTCTCTCGACTGGAAAAACCGCTTTCATGCCTTTGTTGTTTTCACTGTTGCTCTACAGTGCTCTTACAATCTCATCTATTTGAACAGTGATGCCCTGGCAAGTTCTCTGAAAACATGTTGAAATGGATTTTGGGAAATGTGGAAGCTGACTCAGCAAACAGGGTGAGGCCGGCTGGAGAAGAGAGAAACCACACAAACTAATTACAACACTTCTCCAGCAACACTTCTGCAACACCAAACAGTACTGTGTTTTTTTCTTATTAAAGAAGTATAGAAATACTTTTCTTTCATATGCACATAAAAGCCGCTAAAGGCAGAGCCGTTTGCATGCTAGCACATCCAGCGTGCAGCTGTTCTCTCATGTGTATACACCTTGAAACAGTTCACTGATGATTCATTATGTTAGCAGTATTAGGCTGACACTGACCCTTGCAAAGAGCACCACATCTCTGAAGCTATTTAACCTTAATTTGCGGACTGTAATGGTATTAGCTTGACCCAGATTCTGTAATAAGTAAGGAATCCCACAAAAGCAGAACGCCTGAGCACAGCTCTGGTCTGAAACACTCCCAATGGGTGGGCTAGACTATCAGAAGATCAGCGTTTAACAATCTGCAGTCCACCCTGTCCTGTATTGTATATGTCCCACAACACCCCATTTTACTGAGACATGTTGTATGCGTATAGGCAGTGAAGTGACCTAATCAATTGATTGCACATGTACTGTGGGTGATTTCCGCTGTTTTCCCAAGGTAGGGTTCATATGACTTGCTGCAGCTGGTAAGACCGACTGCGGTTTCTTACACTGTTGATGAGGAAAAACGGTAATGTTGGTTGGCCCACCGTGGGGTTCAGACCTTAATATCGCAACAACTTTTCAAAGAATTGCTCAAATATTGATTATGAATGTTCACGCTCCTTAGAGAGGGAATCTTACTGTCACCAGTCATCCTTATTATTTTATTTTGGCACCATTATAAGCTTGGCATTTTGGGGTTGGTATGTAAAGTATCAAAAGCAATTTCTTTCATAGCTCGATTGTCTGCAAAAATTGCCAAGGTGGGCAGAGGGTAAATTGACTTTCCTGTATAAACGTTTTCCTTATCCTAGATAAGAAAAAAAATTCAAAATCTACAAATCAGAATTTAGTAGAGCTTCATATATCAGGCGGCTCTCAGTTCAGTTTACTTTGACTTTTATCATCCTCTGAAATGTACCTCTTGCATCAGCGTGAGGCTGGTAAATTAGGTTTTGAATGTAATATATCAGCAACTACAAGCTGGATCGTACCAAATTCAACCAAACAGTTAACCTTTCACATGAGGAGAACTAAACATTTCATCCAGCATCAATCACAAGGTCGAAATTGATCTAATTCAATGTATTGACACAGCGGCCATTGTCCTCTAACATCCCCCTTACATGCGGAAATTAAGTTATCTAACCTACAGCATTGCATTTTCTTTGCATCTGAAAAAGCCTGGTTGCATCTGGTTGACATTTTGCTGAAACAAACGGTCATATTTTAAGGTAAAATAACATATTTGATAAGCATTAGAGTAATGTTTTACACAAGCTATCATGAGTATTTCAGCGCCAACCGTAAACTTTAGCAACTGTCTGAGTTTAAATCCCCTTTTCCACCAGTGGTACAGTTTGGGACAGTAAACACTGATCTTGCTTGCGTTTCCACAGCCAACCATACCCTTACACATCACTAAATCACAGCGGTGTGACAGTGCAAACGGCCAATACATTCAACAAATTAGAAGAACGTGACAGTAGACAAAGATCAATGATTCAGGTCTGCATCTCTGAGGCAAAAACCCCCCTCCAAAAAAACAACCTTAGCATTACTCTCTAAAAATCAGCAGAATATTTAAACATGGTGCGTTTTGTGTTTGTCCTTTAT